ACTGGTGATGAAACGTCTGCAACGAAACTGTTCAGCTCGGAGAACAGAACAAAATCTGAACCACTGTTCATTACCATTTTCGCTATTTTGGAATGGTTCCGAAACTCATACAAATTGTACCACACGAATTGAACCGTCGCATCATTGCAGTTTCATTGCTTACCGGAGGAAGCAACCATCGATGACTGAACGATGTCATTACTGGAGAGTCAAAGTGGTTACTCCACGACAACCATAGCAAGGGGCGTCATTGAATGGCAGCAAATGAAACTCCAGTATAAATCTCGAGAGGCAAAAATGATGCCGTCGATCTGGCGAAATAGCCGAGGTGTAATATATTATGAACCGCTACATGACCATCCCACTTTTATTGCTGATGACTATTGCCGACAAATGCGCAAGATGGTCGCCAAACATCAAGAAAAGCGTCCAAGAGCGGCTCGAATCCTTCTGCTACACAACGATGCATATCCTCATGTGGCAAGGAGGACGTGTCTGTAGATTCAGTATCTCATTTTCGAAACTCGTGCATTCGTCATACAGACCGGACCATGCTGCTGCTGAGAACCATCATTTCCACTCGCTGCAAAATCAAACCAAGGTGAAGCGATTCGACGACCAAAACCTTTTGGAAACTATTCTGTCCAAAATATTGATAGCCAGCCCAACTAGTTCTATGAGAGAGGCATGGACAGCTTTCCTGAGCTTTGGCAATTAGTCTTCGACAACAATGGATGTTATGTTGATTGAATACGGCTGCTTGTTTAAAATAAATAATAATCGTAAAATGTGCAAAAAATGTCAATTGATTTCAGGACAACCTAATAGCACAGAAGTTGAGAAACCATAAATACCTATAAATATACGGCATTGAAGTGAGTGTAAAGCTGAGTACGTAGGAATCTTTTTCTGGTAGTTTCGCTACTGTGAGCAACTAAATAGATGGACCCTGATATTCCATCTGTGTTTTCTTAGTGGCGTTCGAGGATGCACATGGAAGTTAGACGACAGACAGCCATATTGGTTAAACGGGTTGCTCAATTTCTGGTGCGGTTCAATGTGTTTGAGCAGGAGTTGACATTTCTTGCCTTTGCATAGCTTGTTTTGGAATCATAGACGAAGCGCCCTGGGCTGAGGCAGCTAAACTCAACTAGCCGTTCCTTCATTAAAGCATCAGGCCTGGGGTTTGCCGCGAAGTAGGTACGTGGAGTATGCAGCTGCTTCTCGTTGAGCACCGTACTTTCCAGTCACAAAACAACAGGGCCAAAGTTAATATGTGCTTAATCATGGTTTCATTTCATTAAAAATCGCATTTTTAAACTCACCCTTGTGGTTTTTGGCTTTTGACCGTTCGGAGCCACCAATTTTGTTAGACCTGAAGTTCCGACTGTTGGATTTGGGAGTGTTGTGTACTGAAGCATCACCACATTGTTCTGCCGTGCTAGTTCCACTGCTAAAGCTGTTGCTTCTAGTGTGACTGCCGTCAATTTGAAGGCTGTGTGCAGTTTCCAGTGTGTGAAAAGCAAGAATCGAGCCTCAGCTTCCCTAAACCATTTTGACGGTGTAGGATCCTGGGTCAGCGCACCCATAAACTGAGTTACTCAAGCCAAGGATGCTAGTTTTCGTATCACTATAGCTCAATTCACTGCGTGCTGTGAGAGTGGTATCCGTATAAACCAGAGAATTTGGACAGAAGTTTGAGTGGAATAATATGGCCACAACTAAAACCAAGACGTACGGCAGCGAGACCTGTTGTTATGTGTGCGCATTTCGCCGCACTAGTTAAGGGGCTACAAACAATCTCATTTGCTTGAAAATTAGCATACTATACCTTGCACTTTTAGCAAGTCTATTAGTAAACTAAACCAGCTAAGACCACTTGCTGGTTAATTCCACAATCAGGGGAGCACTGTGTCAAGAAAATTCAACCCGATTTCTAGAATCCTTGAAAATACTGGTCAAATCATAAGGGGCACTTGCTGATGAATATTCCGTTCCGTACCTGCAAACGCCGCGAGTTGCGACTGCAGTGAATCGATACTCACGGGGACTTCGGTGCCGAAACAGGTGGATGCACGTTATGTCTTGTTAAATTGTGTAGAGCCACTATGCCTTTCGAGTTCCAAGTTCACTAGTCCCGTTGTCAGCACAGTTGATGTTGGATTATTTACGATGCTACGGACGCCATGTTTTTCTACAGCACCCCGTCGTCTGCCGGGCGGTCTACATGCGTTTGGGCTGTCAAAATGGCAGCGGAACCATATCCCTGTAAAATACAGACACAAATCTTGCAGAAACAAGTACGGCCGACTGGAGTTGATAGCATAATTACTGTAAACAAATGACAAAAAGATCAATCGTTTTACAAAACAAAATAGGCTAAAAGTTTACTATGTTCTTTGTTCCATGTCATACCCAGTGTTCCACTGTTTAGAGGACTGAGGTTAACGGATGGTGAACTATAGTTCACTTTAAAATCGCTGGCCCCAAACGAAACTCATGTTAAACAACAGATACCCATCAATGAGCTGCCAGTCACTGAGCGAAGGGTTGTTCGCAGATTCCATTATCGCTGTGCTCAAAGCCTGCCCCATCACAAGTCCGTTTATCTCTACCTGACGGGTTCAAGCTTGATTAAACTGGCAGAAAATAGTATAGAGAAGGTGAAATAACGCAAGCGTCCTCAGTTTAAGATTCCCTAGAAATTTACCTTTCAGTCTCTTCCCATGATAGCCAGCATTTTGGGCTTACTGCGTGCTACCCATTTTGATTAAAAGGCTAGCATGTAATATATCACAAAACCGCTACACACCCACTTGTTGCACTTTTGTTCGGCGTCGCTGAATATGTGAGAAAGGAAGACCAACCTGCGTAGGTCCATGGAAATTTAATAACTAATAGCTCAGACTAACTCCTGCGTTGACTGCAACACGCTTTTGTTATGCTGGGACAGCTTCAGCATTACTAGCAAATTCTTCATTTATCTTGACGTATGATGTATTTTTCATGAAAACAATCCCACACCATGAAAATTACCGCCGACGTTTTGGTATTAGGGATGACTTGCAGCCACAACATTAGTGGTAACTACCATGTGCTTCCTGGAGTCTGGTATAAACAGTCGCTGAGAGACTCTCCAGTGCTTGCTTTATCGATAGTACATAAACCTGCAAATCCAGTAACAAGCGGACAGACTGCATTATAGAAAAAACCAGTGGCACTAGACTGAGGTGTTTATTGGTCGGTGGTCGGCAATGCAGCACAGGTAACAGCGTTGTTTGAGAGTCCTCCCTTTTCAGGTTTTTAACAGATACATCCAATCCCAAAAGTCTGGTCCTCTACTCTGTTATTGCGGAACAAACAGTCACTCCCTGGGGTGTGAAGTAGTGGGTACTAAATTGCCAACTGCTTAATAATAGGTGCTGGTCTACGTCAAAATATCTCAGCCGTTCACATGGGTGTAGAACGACCGTATGCATGCATGTGGGTAGATGTGTATTTGCCAGTGTCGTCCTTTGTGAAAACGCTGGATCGGGCGGAGATGCTTGGGTGGGACTGAAACTACGGCACACCACAAGTCAAATTCACTGATCGATACATAGGGTATGTAGGGCTGGTTGGACCGGAGACAGGTATGCAAAATCGAAACAGCAATGCTCATTACCGGGCTACTGCGGTAGAATTGTGGTGGCGCTTTGACAGTCATAACTAGCCTGAGCAAGCAGTGCGTAATAGGTGCTCAGTGTTATCCCGGCTAGTGACAAAAGGGTTATTGGCAACGCTCTTGTAGACTGTAAGTTACGTTCCAATAACCTACCTTTGCAGAATAGTCATTCCGTACAATTAGGCCTTGCAAACATTAAGTGTGACTTTTTGAGGAAAGGGTCTTGAGAATCTATGCCGCCTAGAGACTACTCGTTGTCGCATAACCTATTTTACCGATGCAATATTGATCGCCGTTGCAGGAAACGAGTGCAATTACGCTGCCAAGTTGGTTTCATTCAAAAATATTTACTAATGAGGCCATATCCTATTAGCACACAACTGAGAAGCTGCATTGCTAGGCAACATCTAATCTTCGCAGATAATGCGAATCACGTATTGCACAAAGCTCAGTGGCCCGAAAATATGAATGGCAAATCGTGAAACCACAGCACACATATGTGGAGCACATATTTACTGTGCAGCACAAGTCCGTTATCCCTGTGAGAACTTTTCTGAGAAATTATGGTGCAAACTCCGAATATCAAATTCCATAGGATTGGTAAGCTACGATTTCACGGTCTGCAGTCCTATTGAAAAGTTGTTGGACAATCTTACTTTCCTTTGGTGTGAACAGTATCTTATTGTTTGGATACACTTACGCTAGATTCTGTACGCCGATGAACAGGATACAAATACGAAACCGCGTAGCCTATTCTCGCAACACCATCTCGTTCACATCTTCCCCGAATTCCTCGGGCATAATCATGAAAACAATGTTACCGTTGTGAACCATGTTGCATAGAAGTGGTCAGTCTAAGCGCTGTCGAATCAGCTTTGCTTATGGATTGATTTCTGGTCCGACGCACCTTTGACCTCATGTGCCCTTACACTGATGTAGTCCAGAACTCAGTGATAACAGTGAATAGTATATTAACAAAAAGCATAAAACGAAGATATACCCGTCAACGACGAAGACGTCCAACGTACGCGCTGGCGTTTTGCTTGTACTGGGGAATTTGCCTGAGGTAATAAACGATAACTTTTGCAGTTTCCGTGTTGATGGCGCTACATTGGAAAACAATACTGCCTTTCATTTGTTACAGTGAAATGGGCGTTTTCTTATAAACACTTCTTTTCAAATAACCCCATAGGAAGAAATGTAAGGGGTTTCAATCTGGTGATCAGGCACGCCAATCATTTTACCCTGCGACCGATCCACCGGAAAGTGAACGCCTGTTTATATAATGCACTGTTTGTGCATAATGTGCACGTGCGCCATCTTGAACCCATAACGGCTAAAGCGAAGTTTCCAAGTCACCGTCGATAATCGGTAGTGAAAAAATCTCTATCTTGTAGCTCTTACGTTACCTGCCAGCCACCGTTCCCTTACCAATGGAGAATCATGATAGACAGAGGAATGGCGGTAAGCAAAAGTGAGTTACTTGGCAAACACGAGGTTAAAGTCATATATGCGGCGGAAGTATGTGACCCTGGCTTGCAAGAAGCGCCTATTGCAGCCTACTGAGCTTCGACGCTTTTGTTCACCGCCGTCAATAAAATAAACATCAACAGCGACGTCTGTACCGTGTCGGGAAATTGAGCAACCGCGCGTTTCTCACGTACCCATCTTGTGCAATTTTCTCGTAGCCTTCATTTAACCCCGAGGAAGTATTCGCATTGGGGATGTTTAAAATGACCACCGTCGTTTCGCTTGTAGAGCAGTAATCTTCCGATGCTATAGCCAAGCACTTTTTGCAGTGTCCAACGATAGATCGCGACATTTGTTGACGATGTCCAGTTTCCGTTCCTTCGGCCTGTAGTTTCGAAATAACACAGGTCCGCGAGATTTCTTTGTAGGAGGTTGCTAACAAATACGAAGTCTCAGTTCTTTTAATCAATTACCCTTTATAAAAGTCGACGAAATTGATACTCAAAATGACTGCCGTCGTTTTGCTAGTAGAGCAGTACTCCCCTCATGTTAATGGCTAGCGCTTTCTACAAAGTGTCCACCGATATACCGCGGCATTCTTTTACTATATTCCGTTTCACCTCCTCCAGACAGGTTGGCCTGGTTTTATACACTCGGCGCTTGAATTACCCCCATGGGAAGGTATCCAGGGGTTCAAATCAGAGGACCACTCCAACCAATCCATAGGTCCTTCACGACCTACGATACTCACGTACTGCCTGTGCAGAATGGGCAGACCTACCATCCTGTTGCCACCAAACCCTAATCAATAGGTCTTCGATGCTGCTTCCTCTCAGGAGGAGCTAATCTTTTCTTGTCCTCAAAGGACACAAAGTAGCTTTTCAAACCGAGCAATCGCGTATGTGTTGCGCAACATAGCTGGACATTCTGAGGTGTGATCTCTCCCAGCGGTTGCAAAAGACCT